CCTCCTGAGTGCTGGGATTAAAGGCACACGCCACCACCGCCCAGCTCCCTTTTCAACTTTTAATTAAAAAACAATAAAACAAAACAAAACTCCGAGACAGGGTCTAGAACTCACAGCAATCTTCCTGTCCGAGCATCCTGAGAGCTAGGATTAACAGACATGAGCCACCATGACTGGCTGTCTGTTCTAGTAGACAGGGTCCTCAACTTTCCTACACTTACTACTGTCCTCGTGTTTACACTGTGTGAATGCAGGCATACACACGCCACGGTACACACGTGGAGGCCAGAGACAACTTGTGAGTCAGTCCTCTCCTTCTACCTGGCGGGTTACAGGAATCACACCGGCCATCAGGTTTGGTAGCCAGTGCTTTTGCTCTCTAAGCTATCTTGCCTACCTCGGAATTTCTTAAAATCTACAAAAGGTTGAAACGTCGTATTTCAGCCAAGGACAGGAATGTACCAAATCTGTGGCTTTGACAGCTTCAAAAAAGTAAGAGTCAATACCAAATGAGCAATGCCAGCCAAATCCTGGTCCTGAGTTACGAAAGTCACTCTAGGTATCCCCAGGGGATTGGTTCCAAGGCCCCTTCCCAATGGATACCAAAAGTACATGTTCAAGTCCCTTTAAACTACTGAAGTGTGCATGCTCAATCACATCCATGGCACATGTATGAAGGTTAGAGGGGTTCTTAGCGGAGTCACTGCTTTTCTTTCGAGACAAGGATGCTGGGATTGAACTCAAGCTGTCAGGCTTGGCAGCAAGCACCTCTACACCCAATGAGGCATCCTTTTATATAATGACAGAGAGGGCAAGAAAAATAAATGTCCCACATCTCTGACCTCCGCATGTATACTGTGGCATGCACAAGCCACTGCACACTATCACACACCCACAAAATGAACAAATGTTATAAGACATGTATTGGTAACCTCACATATGCTTCCCAAAAATAATATGAATGCTACACACATAGTTGCTGTACCATATTCTTTAGGAAACAGTCTAACGCTTCTTCATGTTCAGAAGACAGTCATCTCAGGCACACCCACACAGCACACCAGCAATGGTGTAACATTTCCTAGTGAATCTACACATCTGGGAGCCAGCTGAACAGTAAGACTGTGAGATTCTTTTGATGCTAACCTAGATGAACCTGACCTTTTAGATAAAGGAGTTCCAGGACCTCCTAAGGCAACAGAAACAATCTGATTACAGTTTAAGGGGATCCAATCTGGCTAAACTTTTGGGGGGCAGTGATCACATATTCTACATTGATGTTGTCCCACTGCCCTTGACATCACGCAAATGTTATTTTGTACTGAATTGAATATAGTGGGCTCGATATGTATAAATTTTCAAAAAGATGCTAGAAGCTCAAATGTCAGCCATAACCTCTGTCTTTCTCCTCTTCCACTGAAGAGAAAGAAAATAGAAGACACATCATTGGGCAAGGTTTCGCACACTTTTGATCCCAGCACTCAGGAGGCAGAGGCAAGTGGGATCTCTGAGTTCAAGGACAGCCAGGGCTACACAGAGAAACCCTGTCTCGAAACAAAACTAAACTAAACAAGCCAAGAATGGTGAGGGACAAAGATAGTGAAGTCGAGAATTCAGCTGCAGAATAAAAGGGAGGTCTCATTTTTTTTTAATTTCTCCCTAAAGAATAAAAGAAACAAATGTCTTATAGATATGAAAAATTCACAAGAGAAGTCCCAAACTAACAATGTCTCCATAAAGGAAAGGAGAACACAAAGCTTACACCCATTCCTATTTTCCTTAAGTAGAGAGAACTCCAAGACTTCCTAAGGGGTTCTGAGACTACTTCAGTTCTGGGAAAGACCCTTCTACAATGTATAAAAGGACAAAAAGGTCTACAGGACCACTACCATAGGCAACCGGAGCTATCTCCCACTGCCACACAAAGTCATGTAGATGCAAGCAGCAGCAGCATTGTTTATCATGATCAAGACTGTTAAGAACATTTTTCTTTTTCTTTTTTTTTTTTTGAGACAGGGTTTCTCTGTGTAGTTTTGGTGCCTGTCCTGGATCTTGCTCTGTAGACCAGGCTGGCCTTGAACTCAGAGAGATTGAGCCACCATGTGGTTGCTGGGAATTGAACTCAGGACCTCTGGAAGAACAGCCAGTGCTCTTAACCGCTGAGTCATCTCTCCAGCCCGGCAAGAATATTTTTAAATGGCGTGCTGTGGAATTTATTCCTTTACTGTGTAAAGATACGTCAAGCGATTGGTTTAATAAAAGCTAAACAGCCAATAGCAAGGCAGGAGGTACAGCAGGGACTTCTGGACAGAGAGAGCTCTGGGAAGAAGAAAGGTGGTGTCACCAGCAGTCACAGAGGGAATAGACATGCAGGAGGAGAGGTAAAAGCCATGAATCACATGGCAACATGTAGATGAACAGAAATGGATTAATTTAAGTTAAAGAGCTA